ACGTAACTCTCCCTCGTTAACATTATGAAGATGTTAGAGTTATTTTTTAAAACTCTCCGCGTTCACGATTATGGCAATGAAGAGAGTAATATGTCCGGGTTTTTTTAGAAAACCTTAGTAAAGCTTGCTTCTTCAGATTTTCATCTTATGTTTTGGTATTTCAGTTTGTAGCGTTTCAATAGCGTGCGTCCAAACAGGAAATAGTACAACTTGACTCGGTCAAAACAATGAGATGCTTGCATCAGAAGGGTCAAAGTACCCCCAGCAGAAGCTTGCTTTGACGTGTATTTGGGAGTAAATATGGTAAGCACAGTTGCAATGAGAAAAATAGGTACGCGACCGCGTACATGTATCTGCGAAAAAACTTGATTCACATTTTGTATTTTCTTGAAAGAAACTGAATAATGAAGATGACATGGGACAATTGAAATATTTCATCACTTATTATAATGCAGATAAGATTTAAAACAGGGCTGTACACAGCGGGGAGTGCAGCAGGGCAAGTACAACCCCCACCCCCACCAAGGAAATTTAACTAACTTTATAATGTGATTATGATTGTAACAGATAATTATGCAGTCAGGAAATAAAAATTTCATGCAAACAATATTCAAAGTGTCTATACAGCCAGTTATTTAGTAAACTGTCACCTGTCAATTCAATCCATACTCATCAAATTCTCAAAACTTTATTGTAATCATATGAAGCAAAAGTTATGTCACTTGTTGTTTACACTTGCCAATGTTAACTGTTGAGTAACATACACAAAATATTTGGTGAACATGTCGAAGACCACTGAATAATTGAGAATGTTTTGAAGGTCATGAGTGAAGTGTATAATTAAATTCCAGTTCTGTGCACAGTTAATGATATACCACACTGTTCGGCTTAACACGTACAACACATTCACACAAAAACAATCGTGTTGTGGGAGATTATCGGTTTGAGTAGAAGGTATCACAAGTTTAGTTTTGTACATTGTGTGCCATTGATCAAATCCACCATATAATATATGATTACTCATTGTAGCTGTTAAGTTATTTTCCATACTAATGAATTTAGGTAAGATTGTCTTGCAAGTTGGTTGTTCTGACAAAATTATCCAGCCAATATCCAGTACATTTATTCTTCATTCTTGTATTAATCTCTAAAGAGAAATATTTATGTTAGAAAGCAAAATGACAATGTAATGAGGCTCGGGAGGGTGAGGATTCTTTTATTTGAAAATGTTTGTAAAAATTTTGTTTAATTAACTCTAATGTTAAAACCAAAATGTATAAGTATTTTAACTGATAACATCTTCAACCTTTGCTCTAACACTACATATATTTGATGACAGCTTTATAGTTGGACTGTTGTTTTGAACAGAGTTATGGAGTCAATATACAGAAATACAGGACCAGGATTTAATTCAATATCTCCTGAGAATGTTTTCACTGTTTAAAATATTACAGAAGTCACAGAAGGATTGTTTTTAATACTGTATAAATCTTTTTGCGAACTATGTTGACAAATAGCTTAAAATATCCTCGAAAATATCCAATATTTTAACAGTGTAATATATTAATAAAAAATTCCAGAGTGCATTCCATGTAAACTCTACGCCGAAGATACGGCAATAATACTATAGATAGTATAGTAAATATTTGCCGAACTGGCGAACTCATGTATTAATTATAAACTTATAAAATATGTTGGACATACATTTGCACAAATTTGGTATTTAAATAAGTAATATGTGGTATTTCACTACTTACCAGATGAGGATAAGATTCCATGTTGATAAATAACGTCGGAATAATATCGCAAGTTCATTCAAATTGGCTGTCTTCAATTCAAGATAAATTGATCAAGATACTGTATTTTTGAAAGAATATAAAACACGATTTATACACGAGGCCTGACGAGGCTAAAGTATGCCCGTTCGCTGGTTAGATGCGGGCACGATGTAAACAATTGATGTAAACGAATCGCTGATTGGCTTAAATTGGCCTAAATTGGCTGAATTATATAAGCCCGTCGCTGAATGGCTAGGGATACGGTACGGTACGGTACGGTCACGGCACGTTTGCGATAGCATATATATCTGCTTCGCAGATACAAAAATGAGAAAATGAGAAAATTTAATCTTTCAGAAATTCAGGTTTTGGAAATACTTTCCCAGATCAGCGAACAGGGCATTACATTGGAATGGTTTTCTGGTTCCATCTAATACGAGAGCTGTGTCTGAATACTGGGCTTTGTAGATAATCCAAGTGAACATGTATAATAATTTATTTACTCGTACTCGTTTCACTTGGTAAGCACTAAAGTACTACTAATTTCTACTAGCGTTAAATGTTAAATCTGAAACATGAGAAAAAAGTAAATTGCCCATAATTTACTAAAATGTGGAAGTTTATTGGGAGAGTTAAGAAATTGGGTGTGGTCGTTGGGAAAAGCGAGCGTTGTTTGGGCGTAGTTTGGACATAACTCTCCGAAATCATAACTCTCCGAGATAACTCTCCTCTTCATAACTCTCCATTTAGCCGGTCCCAATCAGTGGAAGTTCTTGAGTGTCAATATAAATGCTGTTTTTGAATAGCTGGAGGGTGAATGTCGTTCCTTACTATGTGACTACTCACCCTCCAGCTATTCAAAAACGGCATTGACACTGAAGAGAGCTCAGATTGAACTTCCACTGACTGAGTGCGAGTGAGCTTTTAGAATATGGGCGTTAATAGACATTTGGAACTGGATTAGACATTTGGAACTGGATATTACAAAATTATAATACTGGGAAATATAGCTATATAGTGCTAACCAATGCTCGCAGTAGACAAACTTAATTTAACTTCATTAACTAGGTTACTTGGCGTTTAAATTAATTAACCGCTCGCAACAGAACAAGTTAACTTGGACAACAGACCAATTTAACGTTTCAATGTTTATTACACATTTCAGAGGTGCATATATAGTTTTATAGCATTCTTGACGGACCTTAGGTAATGACTGGTAGTTTCCTTCTCATCTGGAGACGTACAGCGTTTATCTAGACAAGAAGGAGAGTTAGGGACTTGAGTTTTGTAGTTGCCTCGTTAGGCAATGGATGAGTTGCCGTTTCGTAGGCCCGGCTCCCTTTGTTTTTCGCGGCCAATTGCCCCCGGCGATCCAGTAATACATTGTATTTGCAAATAATACAATATTTATGGATCACCATGGGGCAATTGGTCGCGCAAAACAAAAGGGGCCTGCCAACCGGCAGCTCACCATTATAAATTCATTATAGCCCCCTGGATTGGGCCCCAAGGACCTTTTGAAAGCGGTTGCAGATTCTGATAATGCTACATCAAAGAGTGATGTTGATTCTGTAGACGGCCAGCCACGCGCGTAAAAAGTGCTTATAAAACACATCCGATGGTATTTTTTGTTACAAGCAGGCAACCACCACGAAAATGTAGCTTTAGTGTCACAAACACAGATTTTAATAGGGGTGGACAGTGCCAAGTTTGGAAATGAGACGCATTTCGTGTCTGTTGCGGCTATCGTTGCTACCAGAAATGGGACGGAAGTCTCTAGCTTGGCCAATCGGACCAAAACAGCGCCGTGAATTCTATCCCCGGTGTCCATGGCAACATACTCGTTTGTGATAATCATTCTGATTGGTCAAAATATTTCATTGTGACAAATAGGATTGATTTAACTAGAAAACTGAGCCCGCATAGCGAAGGATATGGAAATAATGCGCAATAAAATGGTAATTCTTTGATCGAAAAATCGATTGAAACAAGGTTTTTATCAAACAAAACAGGCGGCGAAGACACATAAAGTTTGTATTATATATTTATTAATATATTATTTCCTTATTATCGTTATAACTAAAATAGTTTTCATCATATATCCCTTCAATACTTGATATTTTTATAGCTTTATGGGTGTCTTTGTTTGGAAATATGATTACCCCCATTTGATTTGTCTCTTTTATACAAGTCAAGTTAAAATCATTTTACAAGACGCCAAACAATTCGAATTATATTTTCATTCTGAGAGGGGCAAAATATATTGATTTAATGTAGTGTCGAATTTTTAATGTTCATTGTACATGTTATAAATATAATAATGCAGTATTAAAAATATTAAGGCACACAATTGTCAATGGCTTCAACAACCCTATCTGGTTCAAAACGTAAGGAGGAAAGTATATCTCCTAGCGCAGCCTCACTATCAAAAAAGAAAAAATGTAGTTATTCCTCTGATAAATGTCTATTTTGCCAAGGCAACACATCACCGTGAGTTGAGAATATCTTCTGATGATGGAAGAAGCAAAGCTGTCAAATGTGAAATTAAGACGAGAAACCTTAATGACAAAGCATCAGATACCATAATTGAGAGGGTTCTCACAGTTATTAGCCAAAATAGCAATTGCTGTGATATTAAATGGCACAAAACTTGTTACAGCAAATTTACACATAAAGGTAAAATAGCTAGACTAAGGGAAAGTACATTTATTATGCCGAGGGGGGGGATGAAGATGTTAAGGGGGGCTCCGAAATATTTTCTGGCATTAAAGGGGGGGCTCTGAAAGTTCTTGATATACTGAAGGAAGGGCTCTAAACTTTTCAAAGGTTTGACCCCAGCAAATTAAAGTTAAAATTTTTACATCAGTTTCAGGTAAAATTTGCGTAATAAAGTAATTATTTTTGTGAAATGATAACCATTTTTGTAAAATACAGTCAATTTACATGCAATTTGTTTGCGAAATTTGCTTTAGAAAACGCCAGAAATTCAGTCCCAGAGCTTCGAAAATGTAAAAATTTTCTGGGGGAGGACACCCAGACCCCCTTTTCTCCCAAAACTTAGTATGAGAGTGCCAATCAATCACAAAAAGCTTTATTATAATTATTGCACGTATAATCCTCTGACATCCCCCCCCCCAAACGTCAGATGCTTTGCTACGTCCCTGATGGTTGTATTCGAAACCGATTTCAGTTTTAAGATATCCTTAGTCTGCTCTTCTAAATGGATACATGAAATCACCTATAGCTTATTTTAAATTTTTTTGCGCCAGGTTTGTGAAGTAATTTACGCGCCAAAAAGTAGCAGTTCCAAAAACAAAAAAGCATATACGATTTGCAAGAATGATATGTTCTATGTTTATGGGATATTTCGTACAAACGAGATGGAAATTAAAGAAATTGAAGCATACTGGCACTTTTGCATGCATTTTTGACAGGCATGCAAAGACATTTGCAACAGATGCCGGGAGATACGTTGGGTGGGGGCGACATACTGTAAGGTTCCAGCACATTAGGGACCGTTCATTATTTATACTTGGGGTTGGTACCGAAGAGAAGCGAAAAACACTGTAAATTTTTTATTTACCCAACCTCAACAATGGTCAAAATAATGTGTACCCAACCCATGTGTTACTGTACTTCATAATAATTAAACACACAAGATTATGGTGACAGAAATCAAGTTGCCTAAATTCTAAAAGCTCACTCACACTCACTGAGTGTGCCAAAGCAATCACGTTCTTGCTGATCAATGACAGAGTCCTTCCTCAATCACATATATGGTCTATTTTGGTACAGAATGTATTGTACACATTTTTCTTCATATTTTCAATGCTTGGTAATTTTGGTTTTATTTTATTTTATAGCTGACAGACAGCCATAAATTTTTTTACCCAACCCATGAGCTAGTCAAAAACTTGATTACCCAACCAATATCTCTTCGGTACCAACCCCGGGTATAAATAATGAACGGTCCCTTACCCTGATCCAGGAAATCCTGGCCACTACATGAACGTGTTCAAGACTCCGAATACGCTGAATGATGGACAACAACAACCTGTTGATAATTTCACCCCTAGAGCCAATTTAAAATGTTTTAAAGACGGTGCATTTCATCTGGCGCTAGTGAGGTGAAAGAAGCAGCAGATCGGTATTTTTGTTGAGGAGAAGCACATGCTTGAGTATATCAGACATCTTGAGGAACTGCAAATTGTATCTATGATAAGAGAGAATTCCGGATTGTACTCCTTCGATTCCGAATTCTAGAGGGAGGGGGGCATTGAAAATTTTAAAAACTTGGAGGGGGGCATCGAAATTTACCGATAACCTCAACAGGGGCCCTGTAAAAATATGAGCTTTTTTCAAGACATCTTCATCCCCCTCCCTCGGTGTAATAAATGTACTTCCCTTAGCATAATATATCTAACCCAGAATAAGAACATCTATACAATGTGAGAGGTGCAACTTTAAATAATAACAACATAGTGTTGATATATGCTAATTTGTAGATGTATATGTAGTTTTCTGTATAATTGCATTAATATATTCTATAATGTTATTAATATTTTTTGTATATACTTTGTTATGACTAAATGCATCTGCTTGGTTTAATTTTTGTCACATGATCATAAAAGCTCAACAGGTAATTTCCCAGACCCCGCAACAAACTTCCCGACAAAGGGCCTTCGCTCGAAACATTATACTTGTATTTTTCAGGTAGTTGCATCCCTACCAAACAGGGGCGAAACATGAGGTGGGGGGTGGGTGGGCAGGGGGGTCCAGGTCCCCCCCCCTACCTCAGAAAATAAAATTTGCTGCAGGGCATCATGGGTTTGGGCAGGGCAAATCTGGCAGACACCGCCAAATTAAAAGGGGGTAGTTTCGCCCCTGCTACCAAACAAAGCTTCAAATGAAGATAGTTCTATGTTACTACCATGCACTGTGTGTGGCATAATAAATACACTTAGCACTTTACTGGGAATCTTTAAACTCCTGTGTTTTGTGACTAAAAATATTTGTAGATTAATTTTGTCACTTGAGATAAATCCTGATCACCAGGATCAACAGACTGTGCACGTTAAACAGTTACTGTTAGACTGGCTACAATTTGCTGCTGTTGTCACATGAACATTTCTTGGTTGTTTGCTTATAAAACCACTTTCGTCCTTGCTATTGAATTTTTGAACCTAAATCATTAGCTGTAGAAAAAGAAAATTAAAAGGTAGGTTTAATCATTAGTTAGATTGATATGTGAGAGATCTTAGACTTCTACATCAAAATTATTGAGTAGAACTTTATAAACATTTATTAGACCTAATCAGGAATGACTGTGAGAAAAGCAACTATAGGTGTATCGAACGGTTCAGGTTTATATTAACATTATAAATGATAGTAATGACGTAGAGACAACGCGCCAATCAGAAGCTAGTGTGGCACGCCCACAACCCGCCTTCTTGTTAGAGTTCACGCCTCCAGACATGGCGAAAATATAACAAAGCTAGCGCCAGTGCCGAACCGGCTGTTTTATTGTGATATGTGTTTAAATGTTATTAAATATATAGTAAAATTGAACGTTGTTTACATGGCGCCCAACGTGGGGCGCTAGCTTTGACGAAAGATCGAATTAAAATCGAAAATATCGGAGTTGTTTACGCGAGAATATGAGCGAGCCGAACAAAGATTTGAAAAGGATACGAGCTATTCGCTCGGGAAATCGGGGAGTTGTTACGAGATACAGCAAAGAAGCGATCGAGCTGTTAGATCAGGGTAGTGAAACGAATAAGGATCGACTACGAACAATAGCGAATTTGTTAAACGAGAAAATAATACGACTTAAAGAGCTCGATGCTCAAGTGCTAGAGTTATGCGAAATCGACGATATCGAACGAGAAATCGAAGAAACGGAAGAAATGTTTTCGAGAGCAAGCGACGTAAGTAGTAGAATCGAGAAATTTACGAGTGCGACGGGCAAGGTAATCGATAAACCTGGGCCAACGACTTCTAAAACAAGCGAAATAAACACTGATGTTGTCTCCAACGAGGGGACAAGTCAATCGAACGACGACCAACTACAAGTGGAAACATCGAACAGTCATGAATCGAACCAAGTGGAAACATCGAACAATCATGAATCGAACCAAGTGGAAGCATCATCAAATACCATCAACGCATCAACGGTACAATCTGTGTTACAACCGGGATCGACAGTGCACTACGCACCTGCAATTAAGCTACCCAAGTTGGTACTACCGAAATTCAAAGGAGATATTACAAACTATCGAACTTTTTGGGAAAGTTTCCAGAGCGCTGTACACCGAAATTCGTATTTAACAAACATTGACAAGTATAACTATCTTTTGTCATTATTAGAGGGAAATGCGCTTCGAGCAATAAAGGGACTGGCAGTTACAGCGGATAACTACCAATCGGCTATTGATATATTACAGGAGAGATTCGGGAAATCGCAACAAATCATAGCAGCCCATATGGACGAACTTTTGAAGTTAGCTCCATGTGTTGGGGAGAAATCATCGCAATTGCGGTTTGTATATGACAAAGTAAGTGTCAACGTTAGAGGATTAGAAGCTCTTGGTGTGAAACCGGATCAGTACGGGAGTTTACTAATTCCAGTTATTATGTCCAAGATACCTGGGGACGTTCGACTTGAAATCGCTAGAAAATCGGATAAAGAGGTATGGGAGATAAAGGAGTTATTAGAGATAATACGAAAGGAAGTGGAAGCTCGTGAATTAAGTGATCATGTAAGGGCCGACAGCGAGAAGAAGGTAAAACCACCACCTCGTTTTCCATCTACGACTACCTCGCTAGCAGCTCAAGGGAGGGATAGTAAACCGTATGGTGCGATCAGATGTGCCTACTGTGGGAATCTGCATTATTCAGCTTCGTGTGAATCGAAAGTGAAACCCAGTGAGCGAAAGGAAATTTTGAGGCGAGACAATCGTTGTTTCGTGTGCTTACAAGTCGGTCACCGTGCCAACCAATGTCATCCGTCGAAAAGGTGTCGTCGATGCGAAGGGCGACATCACCAATCAATTTGCGAAAAGGTTGTGGCAAAATTCCCAAACGCTGGTGGAAAAGATAAGGATTATAAGGACGGTGATTCAAAATCGACAACTAAAGAAGAGCAG